AAGTTCCTTCCGGGTAAGTTACTGACTCGGTAGCGTGAGGAGCTAGAAGACTGGAATTTTGAGGGGGTGTTGCCTGACAATCTGGCGGCCAGTCTGAAATTCTTTCAGCTAGAAGCATCTGCCGAAAAGACCGATGCCGGTAGCGACAACAGCCAGGTCTCAAATTCTTTCTACTAGAAGCATCTGCCGAAAAAACCGATGCCGGTAGCGACAAAAACTGCGGAGAACTGAAATTCTTTCAGCTAGAAGCATCTGCCGAAAAAACCGATGCCGGTAGCGACAAAAACCTGCGGGAAAGCGACAAAAACTGCGGGGAGCTCTGCAAAAAACGCATCTAGAAGACTGAAATTTTGAGGGGATATTTCCTGACAGTTCTGGCGGCCAGTCTGAAATTCTTTCAGTATATCTGCCGAAAAAACCGATGCCGGTAGCGACAAAAGCTGCGGGGAACTCTGCAAAAAACGCATCTTCGTACGGGCAGCCCGTGCGTTGGCCAATTTTTTTCCTTCACGCAAATTATAGCACTCCTAGCAAGGCGGGCAATTTGCCTAGGAAAGTTGCCCTAATTTTTAGAAGCACCGTAAATTAATGCATCCGTATTGTAGCACATAAGGTTTTTTAGTCGAACGCATAGCACGTATTTATGTTTTGTTTAATGAATAAGTTTGAATGCGTTATGGTCGTCCGAACAGCGAAAATACGAAAATGAATGACCACAAATCTTGGAGTAGGCCTCTCATTCTTTTGCGGGAGATGTGTATGCCAAAGCTTACAAATCACATGAATAGTAGAGTAGAAGCATTCGACTTAAGTGTCATGTACAAAAAGACATTTTACGATGCAGCTTGTGTTTCATCCCTTAGCTGTAAATACAGACCGGACTATGCATGCAAGTAGGAGTGGGAATTGTCGTCAGTACAGCCTCCTACCCGCCATGTATTGAAGGGGCATATAACTGTTTTGCAAGACGGAGACGTGAAAGAAAAAGGAAGATAATTTGTACTACCGAGTAATTTGTTTACGTGAACAAAATCAAAACGATACAAGTGATACGAACCGGCGAGCAACTTGCACCGCTTTGCGTGCATCCCCCGTCGTCGCAGCTACTTTCCTTGCGCACAGTTCAACGGCACTTGCATTGTTATTTGTTTTCTAAAATCAGTAAAAAGTGGCAATGACCCATGTTCGACAAGCAAATTCTAAAATAATAGTCCAACACGAAAAGAAAAGGACGATTTGCCGATTGCAGACCGCATAATGCCAAATTCAAAATGCATTTCATCCAAGAAAAAACAGTAGTAGTAAGTTATTGCCATTGAATACGAACCAATTTTTGTGATATGATAACCCGTAACTGGGCCTCCGTGTAAGGCGCAAAAACAATCAATTCGGGAACACGCTTTAGCTTATTCATCGGCAGCTCCGCCATACCCAGCGTATTGGCAATGCCTGAAAACGTGTGCATGGTGGTCTAAGCAAACCTGTCAAAAAGCAATCAAAAAAGTATAACTGGCCAATGTAGCGACTGGGAGTGCAAAGATGCGTTTTCTGTATAGTTCCCCGCAGAATTTTGTCACTAACGCCGCTGTTTTTTCCCCGCAGATGCTTCAAGCTAAAAGAATTGAAACTGACCACCACGACTTGCAGAAAACATCCCCTTCAAATTTCAGCTTTCTAGCTTTTCTGGTTCTTGAGTTAGCAGCTTACTCGCTAAAGATTTTCACGAGCCCATACATGGGAACTACGTGGGTAAAAGTGCCCATTTTCGGGATAAAGGCCAGTAAATGCGTGTCGATTAAGTTTCCAAAATTTCAGTCTTGTAGCTTTTGTAGGAAGCGGGATGAAATCTCGGTACAGACGCACACACAGACACACACTCACAGACAGCTCCTCGATAATATGTATTTTTGCATTGCATAGATGCAAAGAACGCATAGAAATCGGTGTGCAAAAAAGCCGAAAAAGTGCTTACCGATAACCGAAACGCTTTTATACAAGCTAGGCCAATGAAACATGGAGCAGATGAAGTGGCGATCGCGCGGCCTCACATAATCCAACTCGTCCAGCACAACAATACTGAAGCAAACAAATTTTCAGGACAACAATCATTCTGAGCAACTGTTCCAACATATGAAAGAGCCATTTGTAAATCCGCAGAGGCCTGAATTGAGGCAACACAGTGAGAAAGAATGCACTAACATATGCTCGTCGATGCTTGCAAAATGCCGCTGTAATTCTGTTTGCAGTTTCGCGGCACTGAGCCTTTTACTCGAAAATTTTAGATGATCCTCGATCGCCCTCAATATATCGCTTGCTGTATCCTTTGAAACACAGTTGATATATACTGAACGAACACTAAAATACGGCTGTTGATGGTACTAAACATCACAGCTAAAAGACAATACAAATTAAATCTGCAAAAAATAAGCAATTAAGACTTTAATTGTTGTGCTTAAACCCCCGACCGTATTCATACGTTGCTAGAACATAGCCAAAAATACAATGGAAGCCGAAAAGAAAGCCGTTTGGACAACAGATATAGTGCTTTCA